GGTGAGCATCCATCCCTACTTGTGGCCTCACCCATATTTTAGCAACGATTGAATGTGTACTCTGAGAAGTCATTTTTTGCTAAAAAGCTAGTAATTAATTCCTGGCCTTGATGGACTTTTCAAAAGTGCCCAATATGTTTTGTATATGTGAAAGCGATTCTAAGCTTTGAACAAATGAAAATTATTAACCCATGCGGAATCGCAATGATATTTGCAATGCGGGTTGGGCGATACACCGTCTTACGGAGATCATCCTGTGCTTATTTGAGTGTTCTTATCCTCCAGAACAGACTCGCAGATGACTATCCGGGAAGAATGAAATACCTCGTTAGTCTTTACGGTATTCGATCCCGAGATATGTTACCGATAGTGGTGCCATACTGTCTTGCCCGCCTCTATCGTCAAATAGAAAAGAATCACTCACATCTTTAGTGATGCAGGTGGCGAGAGAGGATTAACGCTGAGCGTGTTTGTCAGCTGGATGACCCAGTTAACGGCGGGTTCCCTACATTTTGTGAATCTCAAAACCGCAATTTCTCTTCTTTCTTTCTTTTAAAGATAATTGCAACATGCGCAGAGCTCATCTGTCATAGTGCTTTGCTCGTCACCCCAGGGTAAGCTGAGATTTCGTTGAAATTATAACCTAAGTTCTGTCAAAGGCGTTGTTACACGAGGGTTATCGAACCAACAGAAAAGCTTCTGGGCGCCTTAAAGCAACAGTTCAGGAACGGTTTCGCGGGAAAAAACCACCAATAATGAAGTTGTAGATGAAAACCAGACGATTAATGTATGAAAAACTGGAAAAAAACGTCGGGGAGGGTCTTAGACAGGTACTCTCCCTCTGCCGCTCAGCAATGGATAAAGACGCACGTTGGACGAGTTGTCTGAACGTGCCCGCTGTAAACGCGCTCCATTTTTCAATCAATTTTCCCTGTGGTCCCAAAACGAGCACGATTGCCGACGCGTCCAATGACGGCCGGCAAGGGGGCGGGATTGGGGAAATCCCCAAGAACACCCATGTTTGAGGGACTTTCCACCCTGTTTTTGAGTTTCTGAGGTAAGTTCGTTTATTATTTCCACTGCATATGTTCTTCACTAGGGCTCGTGTATCCCTCAGTAGTAGTGGCATTGAAATTTTCGGACCCTCCCTGAACTGTTGCTTTAATGAATATCGATTTGAAAGCAAGTTCCTTGATAAAGAAAACATTCACCACCGTACACTTCCATCAAGCGGTTTTGCTATCGATCAGTAAAGTAGTGAAGGGAGTGAGAACTTAGCTCATTTCGTCCTTGCCTGGAGTCGGGATTGACTGATTCTTGATTAAATCCTTCGATATTGCTGTCTAGAGGCAAGGTTTAGCGTCCTTCGATAATTTTCTACAAGTGAGGGCATCGGGGCGTAGTGATCCTTCGAAGGAATATGCATGATGGATGTCATTGAAGAATTTATGGAAGCATTCCTTCCACACTAGAGAGCGGACAGATTATTCCGAAGATTTCAAAAGGTTTCTCGATCTTTCTCAGTACACATGCATATTCTTTTATACGTGTACATATATACACTATTCTCAGTACATTCAGAATTCGGGAGAGTAAAGTTGGAAAATAGATGAAAGCAAGACCGGGGTGGTGGTATTAATGTTGAAGGGGGTTGCAGTTCGGAATCGTTTTGATTTCATTCGTGTACCCTGCTAACAGATTTCCGCTTGCAACGTAATAACTTCGTATAGCATACATGCTGATCCCGTTTCCCTATTACAGTCATATTTCAGATTGTTCCACAATTCTTATCTGTGAAATGCTCAGTTTTGTCAGAAAGGGTGTACCTATGCAGTTAAGTGAAATCATACTATGGGGGCAAATAAAAGAACGGGTTATAAGGAAAATATTGTCCTATCGAGCTTAAAATTGCTGTCCTATTGGTTTCTGAGATATAAGGGTTGAAGTCGAGGAAAATTCATGAGAGGAAATAACGAAAGGTTAGCGAAAATGGACGCAACGAACAATCGCATACAACGCTCCGAATTTAAAAAAGATGACGAACAAAAACGAAAAATTCAGACGCAATCTATCCATCTTATCCTTCATTTGTTGTCCTCAACGCAGCTGCGACATGTTCTCTATCAGCCCAGATTACTCAGAAGTGGTTTCATCGTATTCTCTCGTGACAATTCGCTTAGCCTTCTTGTGTTTCTCAGTCGGATTCAAGTTTCGTACACCCTTGATACCCGTATTATCATATCTACAATAACTCCAGGCTATCATTCACTGCGCTTTCATCCGTTTTCTTGGGAACCACACTCGAGCGCCGAGCCATTCATGAATTTCTGTATTGTTTTGGAGAGGTAAAAATTCGAAAAGGCGTTGACTCCAGCAGTAAATTTTGCCTTTTCTTCCTCTTCTATCGCCACAAGATTCTTACTTTGATCTGCCAAATAATTAAGTTTATATGCATTAGATTCGACTCTCCTGCACCCGACACAGTATGTAGCTCGAGCAGATCTAACTATAAGGGCTGCGTGAATATGTCAGGGAAACAAAGTGAGTAAGTCGTTCTTCTTGACAGTAGTTGTTCATACGTGAAATACCAACTTCGGCGGGGATTCCAGGTATGGCATCCGTTAGAATTGAAGAAAAAAGTACTAGTCTCCCAAATTTTTGGCCCCATGAACTAGTCCATTGCTATCAAAGGCACCCAGGCAGAGGTCGTGTGAACGCTTCTCTTCGGTCTGTAGTATAGCCCTAGAGGACAATCACAAATGTGGCGTTCCCGTGCACGGAAACCAACCGACAAGAGCGCTTGGGCCTTGCAAAGTAAGCTGCTGAAGCTGCAGACTTTTTTCTCTTATCAGGCTGTTGTCTGGCGCTCTCTCATCTGTAGCGCTCTCTCGCCTCATACTCTCCTCTCCGCGCTTAGTCTCTCATTCCCTTAGCACAGCCGATTAGGAAGGTGAGTGAGCCCTTAACCTAAGCGTTTTCGACGGATTCTTTTCCTTTTTTCTTTACTGCCGGCCCATTTCGCACCAATACATTCGCATTCGTGTGCAAGAGCCACACCAATGTGATCCTTGGGCATGCCTCAAGCCGATTTATTTGATTCTAACCGTCTTTATTTTACTCACTTCTTTATGTGAGTATGTCACATCAGCCGCTCTACTGAATAGAACCGATGGAAAAACGATGGAATTTGATGGAAGACCATTAACCTTACCGTTTTCTCTGCCCTCCATTGGACCTGGGGCCATATATCGCATCCCTCCAGCCAAGATGGGAAAATAGACTGTGCTAAAAGTTCAAGAAATATGACACAAAAATACAAATCATTCTAAAAAAGTTCTCAATCATCGCCTGCCATGAAAAGGACTATTCTGGCAATCATAGTTATGTGGGCTGACAGAATTAGAGCTTGAAGGAAATGGATCGAATCACTAATCGCTTTAGTCAGAAACAGCGCTCCTTAAGCGCGTTCAAAGTGACTGATTTGCCTATTGACGCCGACGCCAAGCGCATGTTATCGTACTGGTTTGTCGCTGCTGGTTTGTTTCGGGAAAACTGGTCCTCTAAGATAGTTTGGTGTTAAGTCGCCTGGTCACACGCCCATCATCATCATCATATCTAAACGTCCCTCGTTGATCGGTTTTCCTTGTTTGATTGTCATGCACGAAAAGCTAGCCCTTTTATCCGATACGTACGCGGATCTCTAGAAAAACATGAGCATTCAATTGTCTCGTGGAACACCACGGAGTGAATGATGCTAAATCGAAGCCCTGCTCGATGATTCGGTCTAATGGGTTGCAGTTTGCATCGGCTGATCCTCATCGCTCCCAGTCTTCCTTGAAATCCTCTACTGTTCTAGCCATTTTAAAATACTAGCTTATACTTTGTTCTGGCGTAACTTATCACCAGAATGCCTTCTTAAGGATCGATACGGAAGAAAGAGGGAAGGGATTTACTCAGAGTACCACCTCGGTCTTCTTTACTAGTGGTCGTAATTCACAGGCTGCTGAGGAGAGGATTGATTACCATAGACGCTCTTTTGCAGTAATTTTTTATAGGTACTTCTAATCGGTTCGCTACTCCCATTACTTTTCTTTCTCTCATATTTTGCGCAATTTTTCATCTCATTCAGCCCCTTCTGTGTTCTATTTGTGGATAAAAATAATTCTTATAGCATATGAGGGAATGGAAGAATGACATGTGTCTATTCGGTCCACATTCATAGTATCACACAATGATGGGGAGGGGTGGGGGTGGGTGGAAGGGGGGGGGGGGGGGAGTTTGGCGTGCTAGCTTTAAAGGCGTGCCAGCCCTATGAATTCCTAAGAAGAGGAGTCTTCAATTACTGCGTCATTTTAATTCAAGGTGCACACCATTTTTTACGGTATCGAAAACGAATACTTCGCATCGAATTGCTCAACGAACTAAATTCGTCTAAAGACATCAAGTCAGGAATTGAGCTGAACTAATCTTTTGCTCTTGAAATGCATAGCGCAGAGATGTGAAATGATCACCACTGAATTTAAAAACCGGGCGAAGCCGTCAGAAGGTAGGACATAAATTGTCCCTCTTCTTAGCAAGGGTTTTCATATACGGCCGAGTTTTCCGAACATGCCACCATTGTTGGCTTCGTGATAGCGCTGATACGGCAATAGCCGTTTTTACGCCCGATATCAGCCACGCAGCACTTCCAGCGGATAGCCCACGTCTTCCTAAATGCTAGGTCGGGGCGATATTACGGCGGCTCGAGACAGGAGTGCGGAATCCTTTCTATGGTTGCAGACCCACGCCCTCACATGAGTATTGACGGGCAGGTTCTATGAACACCTGTTCCCGAACCCGTCCTCAATGCAGAAGTAGTAAAGTGACAATTGGGCCCGTGCTTAGCAATGCACCCTTTACGGGTATCATATCCCAAGCTATACCCATCAGGCTGGTCGAGCCGTGCCATGTCTTCGGAACCGGTAGATTGGTATCAAGACTTATTTGGTGGCGATAAAACAATGGCTACTAAGTCAGCTTGTTTCCGCAAGCCGCTTTTGTGGCTACGTCGTATCCCAGATGGCGCTGATGTTCTGATGGTAAGAGAATGCAGGCGGGCATATCCATAAAAGCGAGGGGTCAAGGCAGGATGGCATCCTGCTTCTCCAATTGAGTTGACGCGTGCTTCGCTAACTTGGCTTGATGCTTGGTATCTTCATGCAAATGTCATTTATCGGGCAAAGCTTCACACTGCGGGAGAGCACGACTGTTAACTCATCGTCGGTCACTAGTAAGGGCACGAAACATCGCATATTTTCTAACCCATTGGCTTAAACAATTTTTCCGCTATCGCAATGTCTAGTGGATGATATAATGCTATCTCTCCAACCCCACTAGTGAAAAACTATATGCGAGAGTTCTTGCATAGCGTCGCTTGTCCAGGACTGTTAACTTGCGATGGGAAATGAGGCGACATAATTCAAGAACACGAAGCTCTACGATGCCGAGCGAAGTTTATGCATGGGTTCACCAACGGGGTACGATAACCTACTGCAGACGCGTGATCATACCGGGTGCACTATATCGCTTATGCAAGAGCGAGATCTTTTTGCGTACATTGTATAACCATTTCTCTCCGTTCTCCCATGATATACAACACCTGTTGTGCAAAACTTAGAAGGCAAAGTTCGGCGCCCCCCCCCCTCAGACTCACTTAATGAGCCTTTACGGTGGCTAGAAGCGCTAGGCACGCAAGTGTATGGGTCGCGTCACTTCCCTACTTCGAAAACCGTTATTTAGACGCTAGGCTCTAAGAACTTTGACACGCTCCACCTGCTGCGACACGCTCCGCCCACCGCTCGATATCTTGACTGCGTCGGAATGTTGATCTGCTATGCTCTCTCTACTTAGACTTCTCTAGCGCTCTCCGCGCTCACATTATCTCTCATCTCCCTGCCGGCCTTTTGAACTTCTCCGCACCGTAGAGGAAATGGCTCGTATTTCCTAAGCATTTCACGATTTCTTTTTCTCTTTTCTGCACTGGCGGTCCACTACCTACCCCTACTTTCACATTTAAGTGGAATTAACTCATAATTCAATCCTGAATCTTGCCTTTAAGGACGAGATGGATAAATTGACATAACTTATTAACAATTTGGTGGAATTGGATGAAACTGCGCAAGTGTACTGCCAAAAGCCTTACAGTCATGGACATGGAAGTGGGCCTCATATATGCAGCGGTCGGCTTCAGTATGGAGCCAAAAGGGAGTGGCCGCATAAAACGAAGGGTTTGGTGGGACAGGACAAGAGGGAGTGTACTGAGCAGGGAGAAGTCACTGTGGAAAGTAGTGGTGCCCTTGATCACAACAAGTCTCAGAGACAACACGAGGGTGACTTTGCGCGAGAAAGAATCCCTGGGAAACTGGAAGAAGGAAGATTTGTAACGAGTGTGGTCCAGGAGTTTGATGTTGCTCACCCCATTGTTTTGTGCGCATAAGGGCAATATGGACTGCAGCCACTGCTGCCCCTAGAAGAGTAGGTGGTGGATCAGGATTAACCGCAACTGCAGGTGATTGCTACGTTGTGCAACAGACAAGAATTGACCTACGTCAGTCACAGGTTGCAGTTGCAAAAACATCTATCAGGATTGTGTGAGGCACGTAATCCCAGGCGGAGCAGTGGTACAGTGACCGTATAGGCATGGTCTGTCTGACAGATGAACAGTATCTGGTGTTCGTTCGAAACCCGGGCATCGGCGGGAACATTTGCTAGGTGTCGGGACATCAGCGAAGGACCACTGATTTGGATGATCGCGTGTTCTTCCCATTCAAGATCAAATTGGATGTAGGTAGTGATTTTGGACTTATCCGCACGTGGCGAGAATAGGATCATGTAATCCACCCGCGACAATCGTTCGACATGATTGTTTTGATAGTCTATTCGATATGGTGTGGGGAGGCCTAAAGTCGGAAGATGTACCAAGCTCTCAACTCCTGGTCGCGGAATGCTTTCTGATCGACGTTATTGTGACGCTGTACTCCTCACTTCTGTGCATTTGTTCAAGGATGCTTTGACCTCAACTTCAATCGTATGGAGGACAAGGTGCGAGAGCATCAGACCAGCCTAGGTGGAAAACTCCTGCGGTTAGCTCGGGATCTGAAAATCGAGGATTTCCAGCGATCGGTCGAGCCTGCCCGCTTTCCTCCAAGCAAATGCTATGGAGCACGTGTGGAGCGCATTCAGGAAAGCTATTGTAGCGCATCCCCATGCGCCAACAATTGTCCAGCAGTTGTCAATTACGGTCTTCAAGGAATGGATCGTTCTCTCCACAAGAACTCTTAACCAACCTTGTGCCAGTATTGGAGCACGTGGCAGAGCATGCTTTGCAGTCCGTAGTGTTCATACACCCCATCAAGAACCAGCTCCTCTCTTTTGAATGTCTACCATGAGTTGGAGTAGCCTCACCCATCGACCGCTTCAGACAGGGTGTTTGAGAAAAAAATGATTTTTCTAATCGTCCCGTTGCGCTTTTCGGCTAATAACTCTCTGCACTGTATCGCAACATTTACTTCTATACATGTGCCAAATTTGATCTACCTAGGTTAGCTAGCAACCGGATATCATGTGAAAGTTACTTCGGTCCCTAAGTTTTGCACACCAGTGTATTAATATACTTTTCACATATAGCAAGTTCTCTCGTATACTAAATGGCCAGCTATATTGAGCAGGTTAATTGGTATGAAAAAAATATAGGATAGAAATTCGAGGACATGTAGGCGAGTGGTACGAGCTGGCTGCAATGGTTTAAGGTGGTCTGTGCTCCGTCTGTAGTCACTATGATTTCCGTGGAATTTAGACCAATCCATTACAAGGTAAGCGAGTAGGCCATGTCTCCTAATAAGGTCCCACTGAATTGCTCGTAGAGCCAGCCTAAATGGCAGAGAGGATAAGGGCATGCATAAGAAATGGGCTTAAAGCGTATTGCCGCAACTTCAAGCCAGAAGCCCAAGGCTCCAATAGGCGGGATTTCACGTATGCAAAAGAATCGTTAGTTAGAACCGGGGTAGAATATGTTCAGTGGTGCAGGGGTGCAGAAAAAAATGACAATTGGACCCAGAACCTGAGGAAGGCGACGCCTTCGCTTCGTTCGTGATTCTGCATTGAAGGCGACCGCATCTGTGCGTCTACTTGCTGCAAATTAGTGTGTCGGTCTATCTAACGCCTACGGGTTGCCGTCCTCTTATCTATTTATTTGTGCAATTCCGCGCCTAGAAAGAAAAGCAATAGAAAAAACGTGTGGTTAGTACAGAGGGACGGTAAGCCTTATTTATCTACTAACGAAACTATTAAAGACTACGGGATAAAAAAAACCCATCTCCTTTCCTGCACGACATGGGATACCCAGCTAATTGGATAGCGTTTTGCACAGTGTGATCGCGTCAACACCCGAGGAACAGGGAAAACCCTTCCTTCGGCACTGGTACCCCTTCGACCGGTTCGTGTGAAGCCTCGTCTAAGAAATGCGTGAATCTGGAAACTGTGTATCGCCTTCCACGTAGAAGCGCAAGTGTTAGCACCCAATTGCAGCAGACCAAGTTCTGTGCATGCAACTCCAGTTTTCACCATGTAACAGGCCTTCGGAAAGCCAAGAGAGGTCAAGAAGACGCATAGAATAGTGATCATGGTGGAGCGGCCATGGTATTAGGTGAGCCGTCATGGGGAAGCGATGAATTCATCCTTTTGAATGAAATCTATGCCTGGGACGGAGGGCTTCTATAATCCAGGTTTGGACGACTTCTATTTGCTCAAACATTCCGCAATTACGGTGATAGCCGATAGTAATGACAGCTCCCAAATAACCGAAAATGGCTTCGGTTATCATCATGTTCCCACTTCCAGTAAGCAGCCGCGGCTGATAGTTACAAAGCGTGCTATTGTCATAGATCATTCGCAAAATATTAAACATTTGATTTTACTCGCCGCAGATCGGGTTTTTCGCTGCGGAAGGACGACGAAAAAACCACCTCATCCGCTTCTTCTCGTTTTGTTTTGCGATTCCATGGATATCACTTCCTTTTGAGAAAAAGGAAACTGGACTGCTTTCACATGGAAGTCCAATGCTATCATTTGTGTCGCTTCCTGCAGTGATGCTTATATTTGAAGCATTTGACGAGCTAAAAATCTGCTGGTTCCCGTCATTTCTTATTTCGGCCTTGGTCTTCCAATAAGATCGTTTTTGCTACTGATTCAGACAGTGCGACAACCACACCGAAACCTTCATTTTTTAGAATCCTTTTATTTCAGTCGGCTTTTCTACGAGGGAGAGAGCATTAAGTTAAGCCCGTAGGCCGTCCTATAGGTCAGATAAGTAAGTACGCAAACCCACTGACATGGGATTTGATGAGGTATATCCCGTTGGGTATGCTCACAGACAACAATTATTAAAATTTATAGTAATAGTGATAATTTTTATATCTTTCTTGTCCCATTTGGCAAGAAGAGTTATGTTCGGTCACTTCGATAAACCGCTAGCTATCCCACTGATCCTATCCTCATGACGGTCGAAGATTATTAGTCAGAATTCAGCCAAACACAGTACGACAGGCACTAGGAGTAACTGGAACCTCTGGAATCGCTCTGATTAGTACGCCTCGAAAAGTCGAAGTGCGCATGAGGAAACATTACTGGATAAAAAGAGAAAAAACGCTGCTGTAAAAAACACTTCGGAGTACGCGGCACGGTATATGGAGAGGACACAGCGTGTCGAGAAGAGACGGAAAACACCCGAGGAGAGCAACACTACGCACGACGGAGGGGCGCAGGACTCCAAGTGTGCCTGCCGCAATGACAAGAATAGGCAGCATGACAACGATCAAAAGCGCGCTTTAGCGTCTCTCGAGCTCGTCGGGACCAGGCGTCAACCGGATCCGTTCGAACGAGTTCGACACGGGGTCGCAGTTTGCGCCGGCTTCGGTTATCAGGCATAGAGGCAGAAGAGTGGCTAGTGAACAAAGTTGCCGTTTCAGTATTGTATTATACCCCCTCCCCCGCTCGGACGGGCTATTTTTTTTCCGAAGAAAAGTGGCGGAGTTCGAGTCTTTAGCGTAATGTTGTTGGGCTGGGCTGTGTCGACTGGTCTCAGTCAAATATTATAGAAGAGGGAGAGGTCGCGGTGGGGGGATGGCTGGTTGTATTGGGGGGTCGCAAATGTGTATTGGTGGGGGTCGCAACTGGACCCCCTCCAGAGGGGGGGGTCGCAAAAATCCTGAAAATGTTCGAACGTGACGGTTGACCCTGGTTAGGACGGTCTTCGCCGCACCATGTAATCCTTAATCAATACGCTTCTTTCTCACTCAGCGGAATGACTTTTTCTTGGTTAAGCGACCTAAGTTCGACTTATGGCTTCGCCACCTAAAAGGCTTTGAAAGAAATTTAGTCCTGACGGGCAGCCCAGCAGATCAATCGCAATGCATTTTTCCGCTTCAAAATATTCCTTGATTCTGACTGTACAGTGCTATTCAATGTACCTTCACCGTGTAGGACTAACTGGACAGATAGACTAAACATTCCTACTGCACGTAACTCCAACTTTTCAGTGTCGCGTTTTATCTATCACTGATCAATTTTAGTTTTTTCAATTTTTTTTCCTGCAGAATTGTGCTGTCATACTGCAGTGGGTACACTGTGATGACGGTTTTTTTACAGAACATGTCGCTACTTGATCGTTGGATTTTTTTCCGGAAGGTCCAGTTTTACGATTTCCAGGGGTCATTATGATGATGAACTATAGGCGCACTCACGGTGCCAGCTAAATTTATTGCCTAATTAGACCAAGTTTTCTGATCTTTTTTCTTAGAGTTGGGACCTGTTGGCTTACTATCACAGCGGATTTCAGTATTTATGATACAGTTAGTGGCTAATGTCACCAAAATGGGCACAAAAACACGAAAAAAGATTTCTGTGCGCAAAATTCTGTCATCAAAGGCAAAAATTCATAGTGAAAACCTCCATGTGTAAATGTGAGGCACGAGAATTACAGGGTGTCCCATAAATATTGCACCACTTTTCATTTTCAAGAGGTTTTACAAAAACTTTAGCAATACATTCATATTGAAAGGAATGACATTCATTGGATATGCTCCCTGTTGTTGTGAGTATGGCTCCCAATTGCTTCGAACGCAACTCTACTGTGGCCCGCATGGCATCCTGGGGTGTTCTCTTCGAAACTTTGCAGAGAAAAGGCTCCGGCTCATCCATGTGGATGCAATGTTTAGTGCAGGCTCTGCCCTCTAACATAGCCCACATAGGATGGTCCAGCACGTTGAAATCAAGGATAGGAGAGCCATTCGTTTGAGGATGTGAAATCGGGAACAGTATCATGAGACCAGTCCTAAACAATTTTTGCCCCTTATGCAGAAGCTGGTTACCTTTGAAAAGAACGTCATTCCTCTTGGAGAAGCTAGATACCTTAGTAACAGAATGGTGCACTGGAGCATTCGTTAGCTAGGTCTGTATCGAGTTTTATTCGCTTTTCAACAGACAGTTGTGGTGAGCGACCGGTGATTGAGACCCTTGCCCAAATCGTGATAAAGATTGGCTGCTGCTTGTGGCGAATATTCCTTTCACTCTCATTGGCTTCCACAGACCTCATGCGGGCATCCTCGGAGTTTGAAGATTGTAGCTCCGCTCCATGTGAGGAATTTTGTCGTCGATGAAAACGGTGCCCGCGTAATCGCCATTTTCGGCCCTCGACACCAGCTCTTTGAACTTTTTGTCTCTGCTGTGCTCCTCCCGTTGGATTGAGCAGTGGTGCTTATGCAACTTATAATGGACTGTGAGCAGTTGTTATCTGACCACTCTCTACATGACTGTGTTTAGAAACTCCAGCGTTCTGGTCACCTTTCTCGAGCCAACCCGGGTATTGCAGTCGTTTCGCTTCTTCATGCTTTTCCTGAGATCCAAGATGTCAGAACTTGTGGGGCGGCCACAACAAAGACTACTTTTATTGGTCTTCTCTTCAGTGCACGGTAGGCCGCGGAGCGGTTGAAAATCCAAAGAAGCGCGATGCTCATCACCGGATGTCCGACCTAGCTGTATGAGAGGTTAGGACCTCTTGAAGTTTAGGCGCACCATGAGATGGAAGGCCTAAGAAAGTCCCTGACGTTTGACATTTGTCTTGTGCTTGCTTTTATTATTCGATCGACATGATCTACTATACATATTTTAATCTACAGAGTCCCACCTAATGAGGCAGGTCAGCGACCCCTTCTCCCAGAACTGAGCAGAGACTGAGAGTCAAAGAAATCGCTGACCGCTCTTTCAACGTCTTCAACTTTGGTGAATTTTTTCTTCGCTAGGAATGCCTTGAGGGAATGAAGTAAGTGATAATCAGAGAGGGCAATGTCAGGGGAATAGGGTGGGTGGGGAACCGCGTCCCAGATCAGCTCTTCCAATTTTGCACGGGTCTCTTTAGCTATGTGGGGCCTGGCGTCATCGTGGAGTAGGTGGACAGAAGTTCGTCTCGGTCGTTTTTCTTGAACAGCGTCCGCTAGTTTCTGGAGCTGACTGGCGTAAATGCTGCCGGTAGCGGTATCTTTACGGGAGCATCTCATAATACAGCATTCCTCACGAATCCCAGAGGTAGCAAAGGAGACAGCTTTTGGGGTGAAGGTCCGATTTTGCTTGTGTCGGCAGGTCCTTCTCCGAGGGAGCCACACGGCACTGTGCTTGTTAGAATCGTAGAGGACCCAACTCTCATCTCTCGTAATCATGCCTTCCAAAAACTCCTTTCGGTGCGGACAAAGAAGGAGAAACTGACAAATGGGTACCCGCCTGAACCGCGTGCTATCGGTCAAGACATGAGAATCCATCGAGTCAGCACTTTCCTGCTGATAGAGGCGGTGTGAAGGGGACCGAGGACTGTGGGATGGGTGCACCCGAGTCTTATCACAAGGCTGCGGGTGCTAACGTCCGGATCCTCTTCGACAGCGCCGAGAACGGTGGAGTCTTCTACCTTTTGTGGGCTTCCCAACCTTGTCTTTTCTTTGAAAGCCGTCTCCTCCTTCGAAGCCTGCGAACCAGAGCTTGGCACTGATGATGGAAGTGGTGTCCCTTCCCAATGCGATGCTGATAATGTTGACGGTTTCCACTGCTCCTGTGCCGCAGCGCCATTCATTGAAGATGATCGCTCGAAAGTGCTCTTGTGGAATCGACATCATGATTAAAGTTAAAGAAGGCAACCCGGCTATATATACCTACTGCGGAGAAGTATGATCGACAGCGATAGTCTATCACGTAGCAGATTCTAGGTATCGATCAATAAGCGAAAGTTCTGGAGCTTTCAAAAAATTGGCTCAGGACTTTCTTTCCATCAAGTACCAGGACGAACGGCATAAGCGTGTAATGTGGTTCATGGTTTTGACAAGAGGATAGAGGATTTGGAAAGGTCTGCAACCTCGGAGAAAAGCTGTAACGCTACAGACGGGGTGGTGAGCTCAAAATTTGGTGCAATATTTATGAGACCCCCTGTACTTACGCTCAAATCGTAGTGACATTTGAATGCGATATGACCTACACATATAATGACTTGCGTAAACCATGTACAAGTCAGGCTTTCTATCTTATCACACAATTGTGATACCCATTGACAAATCGACAAAGGATCGAAGCCTGCTTGGCCTAGACGGTGAACGATCCAGGATCCAATCTCGGCCGCTGCGCACGGTAAGCACCCTCACTTGCCAACTTGCCACTGCACCACTTCCGCCCATGTCGACACATAGGACTGAACAATAGAAATTTCATCCAGAATTATTTGGCAAACGCTTACAAGACATCTTCGGAATCGGCTGTTCGGTATCATGTTTGCGTGAGCGGATCAAAAAACCGCGCATGACAAGCTTCACAATTCAATCCAGGGGGCCAGCCGCATTTAGTTGTCATTGCTCTTCTAAATGGAGGACAACCGGCAGACATAACCATAGTCGATTCTGTCGTTTCTATCCGATTTGTGGCCCCCAGTCTGCATGGAAACCACGATGTATAACAAGGAAGAGATCGAAATCTAGGCCGTAAATGACGCAGTTAAAACCGCTTCAATGAGATGTGGCGATAGATAAGAAAGGCTACCTGTATGATGACCCTAACGAACGTCAAGAATGATCTCTGAATCGAGTTTTTGATGTATTTGAAGTGAGTGACATTGGATACGAATTAGTGGCGAGTAACAGCCTACTTCTTGAACGCGTATCGATTACAAACTTTCACACCAGAGCCGCCAAACCCGGACAGAACACCTTGGTCTGGCCTAAAAACAGCCTGGTTTGGTGATCTATCCGTTTGTGCTTCATGTCATCTTCAGAGTCATGGAAATCCTCGAATGTATGCCTTCTCGATTAGTCGTTCCTCTTTGCACTTGAGCTCTACTTGGTTCAGGTTTCACTTCATGTCTTAAGAATCAATTTGCAATCCTCTTCCGCGGGCCTCTCACGAGCTTGAAATATTACTATTGTTGCTGCAAATTCAAATAAGAACGGCTTGATTTATTCCGTAACTCCGCTTTTTCGTCGAGGGTGGCCATACGAATATCAGAAAAATTTCGCTAAATTATGGACAAATGCTCGGCCTCGCGCGGGACTCGAACTCATACTCAGGTCTTCCGTGCGCCGTGCTTATCCACTGCACTGACGAGACTTGATCTACTTTCATTTTTCCTACAGTCTATAGCAACTGATACGTATGTGTAACTTTATGAGGCCATATTCTCTGTTGGTGAAATGGGAAAGTGTTGTGCTTGAATAGCTCGGACTCAGGATCAAATTTTTTCCGAGACTGTCCTATTTTTCTGCATCGGCT